AGGCTATAATACACACGCCAAAAATTATCATTGCCTATGCATTTTACCAGGAGATATACCCTGACAAACAGTGGGTAGTTTCTTTTGGAACACCCTGTAGATACTGGGACCTACGAACCGATGCGGACAGAAAATGCTACCAATTAAGTGATTAACGAGGCGAGAAAAGTGGAGGTGTGGCGACACGCTCAGACCGGTTCGCCCATTCACGGAGACGCGCGGTCTCACGGAGACAAGCCGTCCGACGAGGGACACCTGGCCCGATCTCGCCCCGTCCCCGATATCTCTTACGCAATCCGGTAAGGAAAAAAATAAATCCACCCCCCCCCATTATCATACCCGTCCGGTGAGTATCGGATGTTGGCTGGAGTTGAGGAAAGCCACGCGCCGGTCTCGCTCGTCGATGTGCATCTGAGTACCGAGGTACCGCTAAATCCATAAATAAACAACACGGAAATGAGCACATAAACGAATGCAATAAATAAATAATTGGGACGTTAATAACAGTAATACAAAGTGAGTTGAAAGAGTTTGGAGACTCGGGTCACCCCGACCGAACGTTGCCTCGTATACAAAAAAAAGTATGTGAGCGTAGCAAGGGTTTCGTCCTTCATGCTTTCCAAGAGCGAATGTGCTGAGCCTCATGTGGCAGTTACTGAGCGTTCAGGTGGCATCGACGGTTCTGAGAAGGCCGTGCAGGGCATGTCCGAACGTTCGCCGTCTTCCGGGAAGTCGCAGCCTCATAACCGTCGATGACGCTCAAACGCTCGCGGACACGATATTGTATCGTTCCCATACGTCTGTTTCGGCATTCCAAAGGTCTCTGCAGCCGTTTTTCCCAATTGGGCAAAATTCACGTTATCACGCTGTTCGAAGCGTGACATGTTCACGGGGTGAGTGCAGACTGCCGACCGACAACTTAAGGATTGCACGTAGCCCAACCCACTAACTGCTACACGAGGCTCGGCGCATTCACGCAACATTTTTTTTTGGTATGCAAGGCAACGTTCGGTGGGGGTGATCCGAGTCTCCAAAAATTTTCAACCTAACTATAGTTAGGTTGAAAAAGGAAATATTACAAAAAATATATGGAAGGAAAAATACGCTGAATCTGCGGAACTCACGATGAGAAGTTGGCGATAGTAATAGATGTAAGTGAGGGCCATGCCCACCGTGATGCTCAAGAAGAGGATGGCGACGAAGATCTTCACGGCGGCCTTATCGTCCAGCTTTCCAGAGGAACAAAATACAATAAAAACAGTTTTAAATAAATAAATAAATAATACAAATAACGTCAGGAATAATGATAAAAGCGGACGGGACGGACCATCGCCCTCTTGAAGAAGGAAGAGACGGAGGATCGGAGCGACTTGTAAGGGAAGCTTGGCTCCACATCCTTGAGCTCGGGAAGGTTCTTCACTAGGGAGTCTCGCCGAACTTTTATCGCTAGGGGGATCCTGGATTGTGGTGCATCTCACATCACAACAATGAATGGGTAATGAATGATGGAATTTGTTTTATTATTTATTGGATTTACTAATTTTATTTTCCAATACTTTTGATCATCCTTTTATCCCATAAACCTAACAGTGAAAAAAGAAAACACAAACCAAGTGAAAATTTGCATTTTCGTTTTTCGTCGAGAATCAGCTGAGCTCTCAATCAGTATGGATACCAGCGATTCGAAATTTTAATTGGCTTTTTGGGAAACGTTGGTGTGTGCTGAACGACTGTGAAACGGAAACTTCTTTTTGGAAGACCGTTTCTCATCTTCGTCGAAATGAAAGCAGTAATCTTGCTTGTAACGATTTTTTCCAGGATGGTCTTATCAGCGAAAAATAAACCTCCGAGTGATTGTGCAAGAGGCTTGGCAAAGTGACAGGTCTAGTCCAGAACGAACGAGATCTGCTATAAATATTCAACGGCCAAGCCCTAGTAAATGTTAGAGCAGAAAAGAAGGTGGCTCTCGCGACAGGAGGACTGGTCCCCTGCTCTGCGGGGAGACCAAATTCCTCTCGTGATTAGTCGAACGGGTTCCGTGCCCCGCCCATCGCGTGGCCTCATTGGCGAACTATTCACCCCCCTTCCCAACGCCCAGGCTTAAAATGAACCTGCAAGCCGAGAGGTTGGTCTACTCAACCCAACACAGTGCAGGGGCGGATACAAGAGGGGGGGGGGGGGGGGGG